AGCATGGACGGACCTGGAGATTATTATGCTAATAAGCAAAATAAGCCAGTCAGAGAAAGACAGATATCACATGATCTCACTTATATGTGGAATCTAATGAACAAAATAAACTGATGAACCAAATAGGTCCAAGGTATGGAAGCGTGGCACAGACTGATAGATCTCAGAGGGAGGGTGGGAGGAGAAGAGATTAACCAAATAATTTATATGTATATATGCATTATCCATGAACACAGACAATAGTGTGATGAAGGCCTGGGGTGGGGCAGAAGCAGAGCATAGTGGGAAAAATGGAGGACATTTGTAATACTCTCAACAATAAAATTAAATTTAAAAAATTAAACTTAAAAAATGATAATAAAAATTGACTTAATACAAGTGTGCAGTGTCAGTCCAGGCACATGCTGGTTCCACCAGCTAATTTGGCTGCAGAGATTAGGGGAAATAGGTTCTTGCCAAGAATCACTCTTGATTCACCAGCAAAAAATTCTTTTAATCTGAGGCATTAGTTGGTTTTTGTGTGTGTGCTATGCTTATCCATAATAAACTCCCAAAGCTCTTCCCATTAATCTTTAACCTCAGGATTGTGATGGTTCCCAGGTCATTAAACTATTGTTCTTTATTGGCAGTTGTCTGGACAGTCCTGGTCCTGACATTCCAGAAAACGAGCCTTACTGCCTGAGCTCAAGCAGACTCCAGCACTGGCACTGACTGCATTGCACCCGGCCTCCCCTTCCCCCACGACAGTGAGGCTCAACTTAAAAAGTATATATTTAGGTTAACCACATGAAATTGCCAATATTCAACTATCTTTTACTTGTAAAAGTGGTAATTCTATAAGATCTAGGGGGGCTTTTCATAGTGTGGATTTAAAATAAATTTCTCCTGGGCGGTAGGAGGTTAGATCAGACATATGTGTGGTGAGACCATATAATATTATTACAGGTTAGCTGTCTAGTCTTTTTGTGTACTGTATGCTATTTACTGTGTAAATAGGAAGTTGTGCAATCTCTCTGGTTTTACTCTTACCGGTAAAGTTAGCTGGTAAAGGAGATGCTTTTAAATAGTCCCCTACCCTCTCCATGGAAGCTTAGGTTTATTGGAACCTAATGACAGCCTGGGAGTGCTCAGGATGGCCCAGAGACCTGCAGGGGAGGTCGAAGGGTGGGTGAGCAAGGAAGATGGCCAGAGCCCGGATCTTCTGCCTTCTGTTTACTGCTCCACCCTTCACCAGTGGGTGGAGAACAAGTCACAGGAGCTTCTTTGGTGGGGAGTTCAGGACTATGGCATGTCACCCCTTTGTTTTAGGATGTGGCCTTCTCTGTGATGAAGGTATACAGCTGTGGTTCAAATGCGGGAAATGGTAGGAGCAGCCTAGTAGTTAAGAAACTGGACTTTGGAGTCGGAACTGCCAGGTGAGCATACCAGCCATGTGACTTGGCAAGTTGTGGTCTGTGCCCGCCCTGTGCCCCAGTCTCCTCTGTAAAATAATACAGAGCCCCTACTTCTGAGGCTGTGGTAAGGATTGAGTTAGCTACTAGATATCACTACACTGTCTGGAAATCAAAAGCAGTGTTAAGGTACTGCCGAGTTCTTTTAAAATATTGCTCTAGGAATTGGAATGTTAGTGTTTGGAAGCAATTTTAAGAACTCTAATCCTCTCACCCCTTCGGACTGTCCTGCTGACCTAAGACCTTACAACCCAGACCATTCCTTTACCCACCCGCTTTCTGCTGCCCTTGAGCCTCCGTTGGTTGTGGGGCTGACAGGTGTTAGGAGTCCAGAGTAGGGCTTGGTCCTCTGCTGCCCTCCTCCTATCAGAAAATAAAATGTATCAGGTCAGTCCTGGGTGAAGGAGACACATTATAAACGCTTTTGTGAGGGCTTCTGGGCTTAACCATCACAGGTCTGCAAGTTTTGTGTGGAATGTAGAAGGCAGGGGATGGATATGCTTCGTGTTAGCCACTCCAGGAAGGAGCAGGAAATCCACCTTGAGTCCGCAAATCTGTGCTTGGAAACATTTCAGCAGGAGAGGCCTGACCCATGGCTGTGACCTACCCAGCAAATAGCTTGCTTTTAATCTTCCTCTCTTAAAGCATAAAAGTAAGACAGGTTTACTTTAACAGCATCGCATTAGGGTGTTTTTTTTCTGATTACAGTTATTTAAGAAAACATCTTTGTGGGTCTAACCCTTAGACTATGAGTCGTGCCCCCACAAGGGTTCTGAAAGCTGACTTGTGCTTTGTGCTCCCTTCCCCACCCCCACCCTTACCCCCATACACCCTTTCTTCTGTGGCGTGGAGCCCAGATTTGGACACAATCCTAACCACCCCTTCTCTTGGTACCCCTGGAGAGCTCCTTTTTCTTCCTCCTCCTCCCTCTTCCTTCTTTCCCTTCCTCCTTGAATTGGAATGTTAGTGTCCCCTCCTCTTCTGCCCCTTCCCCCTCTCCCTCAGGGGATGTCTCCCCTTTCTCTCCCCCTCCCACCTCCCTGTTTGCCCCCCTTCCCCCTCCTCTCTCCCTCCCTGTCCCCTCCTCTTCTTTCTGCTCCTCCTCTTCTCTGAAGTTACCACTTCTGCCCCCCTATCCCCACCCCTCGCCCTCTCCCTGTTCACTGTGTGGTGACTTCACCACATCTGACTGCATCTTGTTTCGTGGCTCCTACATTTTGCCTCCGCTGATGTGTCAGGAGCCATGGGAGTTGTTGAAATGCTGTCACTTTGCACAAGAGGGAGTGGACAGTTTATACATTTTTTAATCCCTCTGTTAACTTGACAATAGAATCCAGAGGTTTTGTGTTTTGGGAATATTGATATTGAGTGGCTTTGGAAAAAAGGTCAGCCTCTCCCAGGAATTCTTTTCCACGTATGTGCAATTTTTTCCGATTGCCAAACGTCTCCAGCCATCTGATAAAGAGCACGGGACTGTGATAAGGGACTGAAATGCAGTCCAACACAGACGTGCTCAGAACTCCGTGCCTACCCCAGTTCTGGAGAATCAAATGTGTCGTTTCTATTCTGTGAACTTACAGAGAATGCTTGGTGATCCCTGTGCACTTTATTCTCACAGATCCCTCCGAGGGGTGGGCAGGGGTTTATGTAAGTGTGGAGGGTGCAGGAGGGGCAGGAAAAGTCAGAAATGAGGGGCTGCTCTTAAATTAACGTGACCCTTTATTTTTCAGGTTCTGAGGTTTTTAACTTCATGCGTTGCGTTCTACTGATCTGCCATTAGAATGTTAGGTTTTGCTCTGCAGCCAGCCGTGCACTAGAGGCATGGCCTCCAGATGAGGCGACTGCTCTGTGCTTCAGCTTTTCCAGCTACAAAATGATCGGCCGACATCATCCTAGGCCAACTTGAAAATCTAGGAAAGAATATATGAGAAACTTGCCTTGAGCACCTTTAAAGAAATGTATTTTGAAAGGTCAGCAGTGCCCTGGCTGGTTTGGCTCAGTGGTTAGAACATCGACCCACGAACCAGAGAGACCCGGGTTCGGTTCCCGCTAAGGGCACATACCTTGTCCCTGGCCCCGGTTGGGGTCATGTGTGTGGCAACCAGTCTATGTGTCTCTCTTACATCGATGTTTCTCTCTCTCTCCTCCTCCCTCTCTCCCCTCTCCCTCTTGCTTTATCTGAAGATGAATGCAAAAATATCCTCAGGTGAGAATAAAAAAGAAAGGTCAGCAGTTACAGCAAAAGCTCAGGGCTGCCCACCCCGCCCCTCCGGCCACACCCAGCGTGCCCACTGTGCTGTCCCTGCACTGTGAAGGCAGAAGGCTGGGCAGGCCTCCCTGTCCCGCATTCCTAGCATATTTACTTTCTGAGTAATCCCACTAGTTCCACTGACTGGAAGAATTGAGCTTTCACCGAGGGTTTCAAGCTTTCTGCCCACACAGACACAGAAGTTAGCACCAACAATGTAGGAGAAGGTGAGGCTTCCTTTCCCTGCGTTTCCACCTTAAAGCGTCCCCAGTGCCTAAAAGAGATCCTCCTTGGCTCTGTTGCCGGGGGTGAAGAGAACACAGCCTCTCCCCCTGTTACTCTAGAGTTAGACAGTGTGAGAGCTAAAAACACTCACCAGCCCCTGGTCCAACTGCCTCCATTTACACATGAGGAAACTGAGGCCCAGAGGGGGAAGTCCTTGTCCAGGTCCAGGGTCCCACAGCAGTTTATTGGCAAAGGTTGAGTTGAACCCGAACCCAGATCTGCTGACCCCCAGGCCACAATCTTCTTGCCACTCCACTGTACTTCCAGGAGGCCTACACCAGGCCAGCAACTAGAACCATGGGAGGGAGCAGGGGGAGAAGGAAGGGGAGTGACGGGCAAGGACGGAGGCTTGGAGAAGCTTGGCCTCCCCCACCCTGCCCCTTTGTCCACTTATAGGGCACCCCTAGGAGGATTTGGGGGGCTTGCCCACAGGTGCCTGCCCCACCCCAACCCTGAAACCATAGCAGGTGCCAGGCTGGGAGCTGAGTCCCTAGGGCATCACACAGTGAAAACAGGCCCGAGTGCCCGCAAAGTCACTTTAGGGATCGGGCAGGGACTGGCTGACCCTGAAGGAGGCATGGGATTCCCCGGGAGGAGGGATGCTTGGCCAAGGAGCAGCATGGAGGAGGTGCAGGCGGGGCTGACCTGGGTTTAAGGCCCAACTCTGAGTGACTCTGAACAACTTACTTAACCTCTCTGAAGTTAACAGTAATTTCTTCCTCTTGAAGTTAATATGAGGAGCAAATGAGACGATGTTGTAAAATACCTAAGTGTTCAATAAATGTTAGCGAAAATCACAATGGACAGTAAGGGATCTGTTGGCAGGTCACAGCACGTGCCAGGCTCCTCCCATACCTGCCCCAAGGGCGGCAGTGCCAGTGGAGGTCCCATCAATCCCCTGCAAGCCCCCCCACTTTATAGTAGATGATGTCAGTAGCCCAGAAAGCCAAGGAGCTTCGTCATTAGGACACTCTGCAGCGAAGTTTCTAATCCCACCTTTGCTCTCTTTCTTCCAGATTCATGTGCTCCCAGCTGCCCAATCAGGTCCTGAAGAGTATCAGCATCATCGACAGCCCCGGAATCCTGTCTGGGGAGAAGCAGCGCATCAGCCGAGGTCAGTGCCCACCCCACCTTCATCCAGTGCTGGCTGAGGCTCTGCTGTTGGCAGAGGATTTCTTTCCCTAGCGTGTTCCCTCCATGTTCCAGGACACCCCCAGCATCCTCGGGCAGCCCCAGGGTCCAGAGTGGAAGGAGCCCCAAGAAATAACCAAGAAGTCTGACTATTCACTTGGGCACATATGACAAAAAGTAAAAGAGGCAAGCTAATGACAACAAGGGACAGGGGCTTCCCAACTGCTCTTCCTCCCTCCCCCACTGGTACCGCACCCAGTTGCCCTCAGCATCCTTTCATGGCGTATGCTCTCGCTGCGTGTACTTGGCCCCAGACACTGTATGGTGCCCTGGGGTGTAGCACAGCAGGTGCAGTTTCCGCCCTCAGAGAGCTTGTGTTCTGTTGAGAAAGACAGACGTTCATCAACTTTCCGCAGAAGTAAATGGAAAATGAGAAGTGGGTTAAGCACTCTGAGATGGGGGCTGTATATCAGGTGTAAGGGGGTCTGGCCTGGCTGTGGGGTGTTGGAAAAGGCTCCCCAGAGGACATACATTTGAGCCAGAATCTGGAGGATGACCAGGAATCACCTAAGGGCAGCTCGGGTGGAAAGGAGAGATTGACTGTAGGGTGTTCAGAGGAGATTGATGAAGAACAGGGACGTCTGGGTGTCTTTAGCCCTCAGGAAACAAGGCCGAGGCAATAACTGTTTCCAGATCCTTGCATGTGGTTAGACAGATGGGCCTGTTCTCTCTCCCACCCTCTTGGAGAGAGGGGGCATCCGGGGCAGACCAGAGGGCACAGCTTACTTAGAGAAAGGAAATTCCTGACTGGGAGGGCACCATGATGGATTCCTGTAGCCACAGAGACAGGTCAAGTTCCCTTCATCTTGGTCCTTGAAACAAAATAGTTCCTCCAGGCTTTGCTGGGAGGGAGAAGATAGAGCTGACGAATTGCTGCTGTCACTTTCCACTGACAGCTTCTCACCACCCCTTGAACAGCCAGTCAGTGAAGCTATGTTGAGAGTGCTGGCATGCCAAGGTTGAGCAGTGACCTGTCTGGGGTCATGGCCACGCAGTGAACTCCCCCAGTGCTCCTGAAGCAGAGGCCACAAAGAGCTAGAAAGCCAGGGTCCCGTGACGGGTAAAGAACAGGTGTCGTTGGTCTGCGCGCCCTCCTTTCTCATGGCATCTCAGAGGTGCTGACTGCAGCCTCCGCGGCCCTGAGAGCTCAAGCTGCCTGCTGTGCCTTCACCTCAGTCAGGGGCTCGGTGGGCACTGGGCTTCCCTGAGGCCTCCAAGAACATTATTACACTTACAACAAAAGTCAGGTTAATACTATTCTTTTCTCATAAATATCTTTGTTGGTTTTATTTTCTGTTATAAAAGTAATGTTTATTGTAAAGGATTCACACAATGAGTAGGATGTACAAAAACCTCCCTGTGTCACAAATAACAGGTTTTTTTGTTGTTTTTTAATCCTCACCCGAGGATATTTTTCTATTTATCATCAGATAGAGTAGGAGGGAGGGAGAGAGAGAAGCATCGATGTGAGACACACATCTACTGGTTGCCTCCCGCACAACCCGACCAGTGCTGGGGATGAACCGCAACTGAGGTATGTGCCCTTGACCAGAATCGAACCAGTGACTCATTGGTCCACGGGCCGGCGCTCTAACCACTGAGCCAAACCAGCCAGGGCATAACAGTTATTAATGGTTTTCTCTGACTCCTTAGAGACTTTTTTCTATGTATACACAACATACCATGTTTTTGTTGTTTTTTTTGTTTTTTTTTATCCTAACCTGAGGACATTTTTCCATTTTTGTTCAGATAGAGTGGGAGGGAGAGAGAGGAAGAGAAGAGAGAGAAACATCGACGTGAAAGGGACACATCGAGTTGTTGCCACCCGCACAACCCAACCAGGGCCGGGGACAAACTGCAACCGAGGTACGCGCCCTTAGCAGGAACCGAATCCAGGTCTCTCCAGACCGCAGACCGACCCTCTAACCGCTGAGCCAAACTGGCCTGGGCCAACGTATCATTTTTAACAGAAACATGATTACTATGCACATTTTCTACAACTTGATTTTTTTCATAACAGTCTAACACAGACATCATTCCATGCCAGTATATTAAAATTACTTTATTCCATTTAATAGCTGCTTAGGCTCCATCAAAGGGAAGTATCATAGTTTATTTAACTAATTCGTAGATGTTGTGATGGTTAGTCATTTCTCACTCTTACAAATAGTCCTTTAGATAGACATCGTTTTGTATCTACATTTCAGTGCCAGTACATCTTTTTTTTTTTTTAAGCCAGTTTAGGACCATTAACTGGCACCATGAAAGTTGCTCTGCAGAGAAAATGTTTTGTTTTAAAAGGAAAATAAAGAGTCCTGGCTGGTTTGGCTCAGCGGTTAGAGTGTCGGCCTACAGCCCAGAGAGACCTGAGTTCGGTTTCCGCTAGGGGCACATACCTCAGTTGTTTGTCTCCACCCTGGGTGGGGTCATGTCGGTGGCAGCCAGTCAATGTGTCTATCTTACATCGATGTTTCTCTCTCTCTCTCTCTCCCTCGTGCTCTATCTGAAGATAAATGCAAAAATGTCCTCGGGTGAGGATAAAAAATAAATAAAAAAATAAAAGGAAAATAAAGAAAAACCATGTTCCACAGCTTTTCCAAGCTGCCCATGTTTTGCTGCTTCTACCTGTCTCTGAAGTATGCTGGAGAAATATGTGGTCCTGATAATACATCTTTCTTTTCACCTCTAAGTTTTAAGACCTAGATTATACCTTCAACCACATCTATTCTTTTCATTGGTGGGCCTTTGGCCAATTCTGATCACCCATATCCTTCAGGATTTCTCCTTTGCTTAGTAATTAAGTGTCCTCCAAACTGTAGCTCCTCGCAGCAGTGGCGCTTGGCGTGATGCTTTCAGGACGCTTCGAGGATCAGTTCTTTTTAATACTTTACAACAATCTGACTCATATCCTGGTCTGGCTTACTGTGACTTGTACTTCCACACATCCTATGCACAGAAATAGCACATGTGGTTCCAGCCAGTCGGCTGGTCCCTGCCACTCTGACAGACGTAGCAGCTGGTGAGAAAGGACTGAGAGCTGCAAACAGTGACGGCACAAGCGTGGGGCCAGCATTCCCGAGCTCGGGTGTCATACCGTGTTTGGGCACAGTGGGTGGTTGGAGTCACTCCGCTGACAGTTCAACGAATTAACCCCAAAGAACATATACTGTTTAAAGCTGCTTCTGCTTAAACTGTTGCAAATAGTGTTACATTCTCCCACACGCTTGTGTCTACTTGCATCTCTCCAGCTTCCTAAATCACAGCATCACCTTTGCCAGTCACTTATGTGAACATGGGATGAGGTAGGAGGGGCAGAGCATTTGAAACATCTGCACTGACTTAATCATGGAGCTGTGCCTCCCTCATGGTGTTTAGCCTGTGAAAGACGGAAGATGGCAGCTCCTGTGCCCTCTCCTTGTCCCTTCATGCAGTCGATGCATTAACCCTCAACAAGGGCTCTCATCACATAGGCCCCCCTTACATCTTTAAAGCCTCTCCTTGTGGTATGATGGTGGTATGAGAACGACCACCGTGTATTGAGCTGTGTGTCCACACTGTACTTGTCATTTAGGAGTTGCTAAATTATATGCAGTCAGGCGCAGACAGAAGCTGAGCCCCGGCCAAGGAAACCCTCCTCGCCCTCACTCCCCTTGAAAAGCAGAGACTTCCAACGCTCATAATCATTTTTTTCCCAGCTGCTGGGCAGATGAGTGACGGATCTGGACATCTAGGGAGAGGACAGGGTATAAACCATTGAGAAGGTGCCGCTTTCAGAGAACAGGCAGTCGTTGAAGGCCGAAGCTGTGGCGTGGACCCAGTCCACCCTCTGGCCTGCAGCCCTGGCTGAGAGCATGCCGGACAGACAGGGCAGCTGCAGGAGGAGGTGGCGAGTGTGTGGTGACTGCTGAACATCCCCCAGGAGGACCGATTGTCTTCACCACACCCCGAGTGCTCCCCATCAGCATGGGACAAGACAGACTCAGGTGGAGAGGTGGAGCATTGTGCTGCTTTGCTGGGGGTCAGATGCGGAATGAGGGACCTTATCTGGGGAGCTGGCATCACATCACCAGCAGCCCTCAGGTACCTCCAGGGCATCGCCCAGGTGCTGACAGTCTAGGGAGGGCATATCTCCAGGAAGGAGTACTGATTCCTTAGTAGCAAAAATGGATACTCTTGAACCTCCTTCAGTCATGTGCCTCACCTCACCTGTGGCCCATGCTTCCTTGTTCAGTCTTTTCTCTCATGACATCATCAGTTCCTTTTTATTTTGTGTTGAGGGGGCAAGTGCTGTTACAAGGAAGACATGGCATTTCGCAGACATTGTTCCTCTCTAGGCCAAAGTTCTAGGTGATGAAAAGATACACTTGACATTTCTACACGATAGTTCATATTTTGTGATGTTAGGTTTGAGGCAAAACATGGTAAACCACTCTTATGTTAGAAGTGACCTTTATCAGTTAGAATGTGTCTTAGTGCAGCCTTCTCATCATCAGAATCTTAACACTGACCCTAAACATCAGGTCACTGCCCTCCTCACCTCCCTGTTCTGTGCTCCAGAGAAATCAGAATGCAGGGTCAACATTTGGGGGAGTAAATCTCCTGTTTGGGAGCTCTGTAACCAAAACCCACTAGGGTAATTGACTTTGGAGTAATTTTTAGTATTCTACTCCATGTGAAAACCTGTTACCCTTCAAATGCCCCTTCATTTAATTATAGTTGGCATAAAATCTTTAGGAACAAAAGATTGAGCTTAGTTACTAAACTATTGCATTCTTGGCTGACAAAGAATTCCTATCAAGCAGGATAAAAATGTTCTGATATAGTACAGTAATAATTTTACTCTAATCAAGTAATAGCTACCTAAAAGTTCTCAGACTTTTCTTGATTCTTTTCTTGTAGCCAACAAAAGATGACCTGGATTCT